AAATTGAAATGCGCACACTACCAGGTTCAGTCAATACTCTTTCAAACTAAACAAACATATCTCTCGAGCGCCCCTCTTTGTCCAAAACGTAGAAGCACAGACTATACGAAAAACGTAAGAGGGCGTGACTTTACGTCTTACGCCGACGTCTCACTGAACTCTGGATCCTGTAGCTGCAGCGGTAAGTGCTACAAAATAATATCCAGCCCGTTATCTTGCATGAAAGATAGTGTTACACGGGAGCTAAATAAAACGTAACTTTCTTTAGCGAAAGTTTTGGCATTATTTCAAACGTCCTGAGGCGCTTCTTTGGGTCGTTTTCTGCAGATCCTGCAAGCGGTGCTGTGAGTTTGGCAGGCCAGTTATTCCAGTGCGCATGCGCAGACTCCACGAGTCCAGAGTGTTGAAATGAATCTTTTAAAAGAAATTAGTTAACAAGCTTTAAATGGTGTTCAGATACATAAAAGTGAATTAAAATATCACCCTTTATGTACCAAAGTCAAATCATGAAGTAATGTTTGTGCATATGTCTGTATGCGAGTGAAGAGTGATTCTGAAATATGATATTTCATAACTCAAACTTTGATATTTCTCAGCACAGTAAACGGTGCAATGGCATTAACGCAAGTTTCTTCTAATAAGTGCTGCGATGGATATCAGAAAGTGTTCGAGCATGACAGGTAAGAGACTGTAGGCTTCATTAAAACGCCTGAATGAATATTCACCTAACGTTACTGCTCTTAACAAAAACTCTGTTTCCAGCTCCGAGTTAAAATGCAAAATGAAGTTCGCCATTTACCTTCCTCCCAAGGCTGAGAGCTCCAAATGCCCAGTGTTATATTGGCTTTCAGGTGCTTGAATTCATTTCGTTTCTCTTGAGTGAACGAGTCGAGCTACTATTTCTGTATACTGCATACTGAAGTATACTAAGCTTACTTAGTTATATGTCTAAGGCCTGGTTTTACAGACAGGGTTTAGGTTAATCCAGGATTAGGCCATAGTTCAATTAGGATATTTAAGTATCTTTTATAAACGTGCCTTAGAAAATAACATTACTTGTGTGCATCTTGAGACAAAACAATGGCACTGACATATTTTAATGTCAGTGCAAGTTTCTTTCAGGTAAAACAGCCCAGACATGCATTTTAGTCTGGTACTAGGCTTAAGCCTTGCCTGTGAAACTGGGGGTATGTGTATTTACATTTGTGACCCTGGAGCACAAAACCAGTCATAAGTAGCACAGGTATATTTGTAGCAATAGCCAACATGGTCAATATTACTATTACTATTATTAATACAAATTGATTATAATTTTTTTTATGGCGAAAATCCTTAGGATATTAAGTAAAGATCATGTTCCATGAAGATAGTTTGTACATTTCCTACTGTAAATATATCTAACTTAATTTTTGATTAGTAATATGCATTGCTAAGAACTTCATTTGGACAACTTTAAAGGCGATTTTCTCAATATTTTGATTTTTTTGCACCCTCAGATTCCAGATTTTCAAATAGTTGTATCTCGGCCACAAATTGTCCTATCCTAACAGACCATACATCAATGGAAATCTTATTTATTCGACTTTCAGATGATGTATAAATCTTTCAAAAAATTTACCCTCATGACTGGATTTGTAGTCCAGGGTCACATTTATGCAACCAGCAGACACTTTTATCCAGAGAAATAAAAGCAATTTGTCAAAGAGCCAATATTCATTATATACACAACCAGTAATGCACTTTAAAATATATTGAACCATCCACTGTGTTTTGCAGGATTGACATGCACAGAGCAAAACTTCATCACTAAGGCAGGGAGTCAGCAGGCGGCTTCTGAACATGGGATCATCATCGTAGCTCCAGACACCAGTCCACGTAAACATCTCAACATTTAGTTTACAGTCTTGCCGGTCCATCTCTGGAGAGATTACACCCTATTACTATGACTTCTGCTCAGCCTAATCCCAGAGATACATGGGCCAAAATATAATAATTATGGATACTGAGATCCCTTGGGAGGTCAGTACATTACTGCAACATATAGATAAACAATTAAGAGTCTCCCCTGAGGATCAAATAGTATTGTGACTTCCCAGTTTAGGTCAGGGGCTAGAGTTTCCCACCAGGCAGTCATTCCACTGCTTGGTAAAACGCCAATTAAAGCATAAATCCAATGTGAATTATTATTAAACCATACAAGTCTGTAGTGTCGCAGTAAGATATTGATAAACCACTTGTTATTGTCATGATCAGAAATATTTTAGCCAACCAATGCTAATATAGCCTTATTAACACAAAAGCACATGCTCAGAAAAGGATGATTCTGCTCTGGTCAGGTGGCTGTAACATTGAAGGAGAGGATGAGAGCTGGGACTTTGGGACAGGTGCAGGATTTTACGTCAATGCCACCCAGGAGCCCTGGAAGACCAACTACCGCATGTACTCGTATGTCACTGAGGAGGTGTGTGTACTTTATATGCTCCAAAGTCTTGTTAGTCACTAGAATAACAAAGTGATACTCTAATAAGTACTTATATGAAGACTTTTACAATTAAATATTAAACATTGGCTTTTGCACTCAACGGCTTCATCACCTTTCTCATGTTCTCAGCTCCCACGGCTGATTAATTCTAACTTTCCTGCTGATCCGGAGAAGATGTCCATCTCTGGTCACTCCATGGGGGGCCACGGAGCTCTCATTTGTGCACTGAAGAATCCTGGGAAATATAAGGCATGTATATACTTGACATTACATAGACTGCTTCATCATTTAGTTGTTTTTGCAATTCAAATATTGAAAATTAATTTTTCATTTCTTTTCACATGTGCCCGTTTCAGTCTGTGTCAGCGTTTGCGCCCATCTGTAACCCTATACAATGTGCATGGGGACAGAAAGCTTTTTCTGGCTATCTTGGACCTGACAAGTCCACCTGGGAGGTGAGAGATGATAATATGTGTATTCTTAAGTTTGGGGTCAGAAATGGGGGAAGAAAAAAAAAAAGCATTATTTCAGTAAGAATATTGGTCAAAAGTAAAGACATGCACAGTGCTACAAAAGTAACTCAACCTTTCAACATTGATAATAAGGAATGTTTCTGGAATACAACAACTGCATATTAGAATGATTTCTGAAGTATCATGTGACACTGAAGACTGGAGTAATGATGCTGAAAATCCAGCTTTACCACCACGGGAATACATTTTAAAATTGATTCAAATAAGAAACTGTTAAATTGTAATGATATTTCACAATATTACTGTTTTTAACTATTTATGATCAAATAAATGCAGTCTTGGTGAGTAAGAGTCTTCTTTCAATTCAAAGACATTAAAAATCATACTAACCCCAAACTGTGGAAGTGTATAGCAGTGTGTGATCATTTTTTTTCTTAATCAAATGAACTTTTATTTTTTTACCTTAACACCCACATTGTCCAGCATCAGGAATCCCTTTGTCTTAATGGTCTTCCTCTGTCATCTCCACAGTTGTATGATGCTACTGTATTGGCTGAATCATATTCCGGTCCTGAGCTTGATATTCTGATTGATCAAGGCCGTGATGACCAGTTCTTGTCTTCCAGTCAGCTGCTTCCTGACAATCTGATCGCTGCCTGTTCCAAGCAGAAAATTCCTGTTGTTTTCCGCCTTCAGCAGGTCAGTACTGAACCAACCCATGATGAATAAGAGGAACTGTATGAAGGGAAATCTAGTTAATTATATTAGGACCTTGATGTTTAGTGCTGAGAGTCACATGCCTCAGCATTTTATGGGCACATACCAGAAAATTCAAAAATGTGTGTATTTTTTGTTCACTAAAATTATAATGCTGAATATTTGTATTAATTTTTTTTATATTTAAATGGTAAAGAAATGGAAGCATTTTCACTTGGTCTCAGACTGATGCTTGGTCAGGCCTTTAGATTTTAATACATTGACTTGGAATATTTAAAATGATTTTCCATTATAATGGTGTATATATTTTAAGAAAAACTCCGCTTTCTTTGGTTCCATCTTGTTTTTCATTTGCTCTATCAGGGTTATGATCACAGCTACTATTTCATCTTCTCCTTCATCATCGACCACATCAAGCACCATGCCAAATATCTGAATGCCTGAAACTGTGCGTCATGTCATGAGTATGGCAACCAGCCCTTGTGCCTTTCAGATCATAACAACACCTACAGGATCTACACAGCTGGAAATGACATCACAGCCATGTCCTGACTGGTTCACACTATCCCTCAAATTGCAGTGCCACTCTCTGTATTTTCTTATGCAGAACTAATAGGGTGGTGTTTAAAGGGTTAGTTCACGATTACGTTCATGCACGCGCTTTCTCCCCCGAACGTAAACAACACTGATTACGTCGATTACGCTCTTGGGTACTCTCCAAAATGGCGGAAGACGTTACTCGGGGGAGAAGAATTGTTAAATAAATTGTTATTTTTGTTTTCTTTGCGCTCAAAAAGTATTCTTGTAGCTTCGCAAAACTGAAGTTGAGCCACTGATGTCACATGGACTGTTTTACCGATGTCCTTACTACGTTTCTGGACCTGGGAACATTACAGTTGCGTTGCTGTCTATGCAGGGTCTGGAGCTCTCACATTTAATCAAAAATAATTTAATTTGTGTTCCGAAGATGAACGAAGGTCTTACGGGTTTGGAACGACATGAGGGTGAGTAATTAATGACAGAATTTTCATTTTGGGGTGAACTAACCCTTTAAGTGTCGACACATTTACATTTCTTTAAATAAAGGCATTTGGTTGCGATTTTGTATTTGTTGTTCTGCAGTGAATGATTGGATTTCCTTCTGGATTTGTTTAAATTCATTCTGTGAACGACTCATATGTGCACAATTATTCTGCATGTTATTAACAAGCACTCATTTCACACTAAAAGCAGGCTAAATGGTTCAGACATCTGATCAATGTCGTTTGGCAAAAAACACCGTTATCGTCATGGCTACAGTACCTTGAAAATTAAGAAACAAAATAGTCTTTGGAGGTGAAAGTATTTACTGGTAGAAGTTGGTACAAATAAACCTTATTTACAGAGGTTAAGGCAAAAGGTGGAATGACATGCATGCGTTTCCCAAAAACATTACTGTACATGCTCTTAAAGTTCACAGAATTACAAAGGGGAAAAATCCCAAACACTGAAAAGACATGGAAAAATAATTCCTATTTATAAAATTAAAGTACAAAACTGTTTAGTACAAGCCTTTTCTCCTTATACAAAGAAGTAGACAAAATAGCCACATAACATTCAGCAGTTAAAGATTTGTATCCCATTTTAAAGTGATTTATCAAACACAGTGATCTGATCAGCTGATATTTTCTCCAAATACTGTAATATAAATACCATGCATAATACTATTTGCCAGTTGCCAAAAAGACCCAAATACATAAAGTGCAAAACACTGTCATTTCAAAATCAAATCTGCATTTCAACCTCTATCTAGTGTGTGTGAAGTAGGCCTAGTTTCACTACTCTTTCTGTGAAGTGGTGGGGAATGTTGACAGTACAGTAATGATGCACAACCTGCCCACTGTAGCAGAGATGTTGATACTGTACTTGAATATAATCAATAAACCTCAAATCAGTGTTTTTAATCTTTGAGGACTACCCTAAGAACAGAATTTCTTAAAAGATACAGCAGTGAATTTATAGGATGTGACTACTTTCTAAACTATGCATGAATTTAAAAAAAGCGCAACATTAAAGGTTTGTAAAATACCATGTAAAGCTACCATCAAAGACCACAATCTAAGTGCTATCCTGTTCAAATGTCTCTAAAATTACATTTTCTGATCCACACCTTCATTTTGTTTCCATTTGTTTTAATCAAATTATGATAGGTTTATGGTGTAAAAAAATCTAGGAAGTTGTACGAGTATTATTAGGATAGCATTTTAACCCATGATGCAGCAATTTAAAGCTTCTGGCCAGATTTTTGTCCCTAATATTTGCTACAGTATAATAATGTGCATTAAGTTTTAAGAGCAGATAATATGTTTTTGTTGGCAATTACAGTACAGAGATAATCCTTAGTAAATGTGTTGTATTTGTACTGAATGCATGTAAATTATTGTCATGAATAAATAACTACAGCCAACAGTCTCTGAAATTCCATATGGAAGTGTTATAACTGCTTTCATATAAGAACCTAGAAGATAATAAAGCTGTTTTCCCCCTGTCAGTTCACATTAATAAAATAAATTGTGCTTTAGATTTAAGTAAAATAAACACCAAATCAAACATATTAAAATAAGCACATCAAATATAAACGTTCTGTACATTTTACACGTTCACACGCCAATATCACATAACAAATCCTTCTACAAAAACAAAACTCTTGTTTTAAAAATGCATTTAAGAAACTATAAAATGATTATGTTTGTAAATCTGTTTGATATATGAAAATAATTTTGGCAACTGTCAAATAATCTCCAGTGAGATATCAGCTTCAGATGTTTTGGTCTGTTTCATGGCTGAATCTGTGAGGAGCTGAAGCTTTGGACATCAGACAAATACGCACAAGTAAAAAAAAAAAAAGTCCTTTAACACACAAACATACAAAAAGTGCCAACATGTGCTCTCGTTCTCTCACTCTCACAAAACAAATACTTTCCTCAAGATATCAATCACACATAAACAAATGAAAACCAATGTCAGGTATGTTGTTTTCTACTGTCCACACACTCAAACATACTCTTTTAGTGAAATCATACCTGACCGACAGGTAAGCAGAGCAGAGACTAAGAAACTATAGCGAGGTCACACCTCCCCTGAGACAAAACATCAACGTCTCCCAAAAACAAGTTCAAAAGTGGTTACAAAAACAGTCGAAGGACTCTGGGAGGACGAGTGTTTTAAATCTAGATCACTAAAGGCCCAACACAAATATCATATCGGTAGATGTATATATAAAAACCATCAGGAATTGTGCACAGTTCTGTATATCACTCAACTGTTTAATAAATAAATGTATTTTAAATAAAGCAATTTCTTATCTCAAGCTAGTTTAGAGCTAATTTGGCTAATACGACTATGGCCTGGCCAACAGTGATCAGATAACAGTACTAAATAATAAAGTAAAGAAAATGAGGAAAACATGAGCATATACCTGCAAGCTGAGGATCACCTGTTCTATTAGAAATAAATGGACACGGTCCAGGGAATTTCTCAAAGATCGTCTGGCGGTATTAGTGTGTGTGTGTGTGTGTGTGTGTGTGTGTGTGTGTGTGTCACCGAGACCTGCATGTGTTTGTGCGACTCATGTGACGAGTGTCTCACTGGCCGAAGTCTCATCCAGCAAAGCTTGGACAGTGATGCCAACTTTAATCAGGCCCTTCTCCTCCAGAATATGATGTGGCAGACATAACTTATCCTGGAAAAAGAGATTCACAAAGAGGACAAACAAAGTGTCATGTCAGAGAAGAAAGAGACACAGTCATGGAAAACAGAATTTATTATACACAATTCATTAAAACTGAATGCTCTTGTTACTGAATTCAGTGAAACTAATAGAGACTCACCTTGTTTAGCAGTGATGCCAAATGCGATATCAGTCACGCAAACAATCAAAAAAAAAAAAAAATGCTGACCCCAAACATTTGAACTGTGGTCTATTGTCTTAAAAATGAACTAAAAAGTTAAAAAAAATGTCTTAAAGAAACACAAAGATGAGAAAAACAACCCAAACTGTACATTTATTCCTTTTCATTTACAGGGTCATAAAATCCACAAAGCCTTACAAAGTCCACTAGCAGCAGCACTGAACACTATTCAAGAAGTCTAGAGCTGAACAAACAGAAGCAGCTGAACCGTCAGAGGAACCCACGCAATCTAATTTAAGCAATACAAACACTTTTTTGCATCTTGCAGCTTTTTTACAAATAACTGGGAAATGATACCGAACAAAAAGTCCTGAACAGTCAATACTGCATTTATTTTTGTCAAACTGGATGATGAAAGCAATGCCAATTATAACTGCTGTGATCACGCCGATAAGGTTCAAAGTATTCTGTAGTTTGAGGAAGTGATGTCAAGAGGCCTCAGTGACATCGCTGTCTGCTCATTTACTAATGGCTCCCTTTAAAGATTTCTTTTATCTGTGATGAGATAAACGAGGTCATTCTATTATGTGAGATAAAGATCGGAACCTAGAATAGAATCAGAGGATCCAAACAGAAGAGACCCGTTCTCCACCTCAGACCTTCACAGCAGTAAATTACATGCAACCACTACACGGATAACTCAATTATTAAAATTGCGTTAATCTGATATTTCATAATTTAAAAACCCACCTCGGCCTCTATTACAGATCACTGAATTAGATTTCATTTTATTCTTTTATTCCTCATTGTTCAATTCGGGTTAGTCACATCGCTGTGGACTGTGGCTTATAAAATTAATTAAAATATAGATTTGGTTCACTCTGTTTGTCATTCTGTTTTACTAATGAACAGGAAATTAAACCAACAATTCATTAGTCCTATTTCATCCTATAGATGGCGTTTTGGGTAAAATAACAATGCAATCATTTACAATGACTGTGCAGGATATTTAATAATTCCCAATCTAAACAACAACACATCATGCTCTTAAAAACACTCTTAACCAAAAGTAGTTGCTTTTTACATCCAACAGATAAATTAGCCCTTATGCTAATGATTAAATGTTTTTAATCACAGATTTAACCTCACCGTACAAGACTTTTGTGCAAAGCAGAGCTATCATTTTGCTTTAATGGCATCTGGGCCTTCACTAACTCGAGTGTCCTGATTTATTATCTGCAAATTGTTTCTGTGAAGCAGACCAAATGTGCGCTTGATTCCTGTAGATATATTGCTGATCACTGGCATGACTGGCATGAGGCAAGACCTCCATATCCGTTTGTATTATTTTTGTTTTGTCATGCAGATGCTAATAAATATACCAATTCTATTGTTTATATATGCAATATCCAACAAAATTCAGCATTATGACTGCTGAAATTGAACTTTCTGAAACAAGTTTTGTACAGAGGTGGAAGTGAGTGAGAATGTGGCCATTCGTCATTCCTTATTAAAGTGCTCAGTGCACCTCCTGCGTAAATGTTTGTAAAAAGTCTGATTAAAGAAGGCTTCCTTAGCATTTTGCAAGGATTAATAAATATGTTATTCACCAACTAATAAATAACACTTACTCAAACATGAAAACATTTAAATCTCTTCCTGGAGCACATGTTGTTCTAACAAAAATGGTGTTTTGTTTGGTGTTACGTATGTAAGTCAAGATGTAAGGGTTGGTCAAACATATGAAACTATCCATCAAACATACAACTAAATGTGCTCCAACTGACGGACACATATTTTTCATCCAGGCTGTGCTCATTTTAAGGGATAGTTCACGCAAAAATGAAAATTCTGTCATCATTTACTTAAGAGTTGGAGTTGGTCTCTATTGACTTCCACAGTATGGAAAACAATACTATAGAAACTATGGAACTATTTCCATACTATGGAAATCAGTGGAGACCACATTCCTCAAAATATCTTCTTTTATGTTCCACAAAAGACAAAAGAAAGAAACTCATACAGCTTTGGAACAACTTGAGGGTGAGTACATGATGACAGAATTTCCATTTTTGGGTGAACTATTCGTTTAAGTGAGGCCAACTGTTCAATGTGCTTTCAAGGACCAGTAAATGATATGTGTTACTTGTGTGTTTTTAGTTCATGTATGTTATTTAAATTCGCTCCAGCTGTAGGCCACAAACAGCATCACCAGACAGAAAACGTGCAGCAGACTTGAGCCAATCAGATCCCATATTTGCCAGGAAGGGGGTGGAGTCTGAGTGGACTCGGGGATAAGCTTCTTGACCTCTGTCTCTTTCTCCCTGCCACTCTCCACCTTTCCTTCCTTCTGCCTTGTTCCTGTGCTCTCCACCATGAGCAAGGCTGCGACCACGGCCCAGAGCGGACGCAGGTTAAACTGCAGAACGTCATAAGCCGAACAGAGAGAGGACTGAGAGAGATTAAAAACATGGAGGGGATGACAAAGAGAACCAGGAAGAGGAGAAGAGAATGGATTTATAATGAGGAATGGATGGAGAAAGAAACAAAGGGAGAACAAAAGCAAATAAGAAGGGAAATGAGAAAAGGAGAGATCATCCGTCCGGCACCAGAGAAAGATAAGAAAGGTGATTAGACAGTGATAAAGGTCAAAGGTAAAATGAGCTCAACAAACGGCAAGAATTGTGGATCATTCTCAGGAAACGGTTCCAGTTGTGTAATAAATATGTGTTCCCATGATTACTTTACTGATAATGTAGTTAAGATACTGAAGTCGCATTGTTTAAAGTTACACTCGATTTAGCGTATACTGAGACAATTTAAATTTGAAGTATTTTATTAACTTTTTTAAAAAGTGTTTTTCATCAAAACATCAGTCAATTAAATGTCCTCGTTCATCACCAATACATGAGTTATACAGTATTCTGGTCAACCAGTTACACCTTCCCTCTTTATAAAAAATATTGCTGACATATTTAAGGAAATGAAATAATAATATTTGTGTCTTTGTTGACCAGATGGTTCAAACCGAGGTAAGTGTATATTACAGGTTTTCAATTATTTGTTCACACACATAAGTTTTGCCAATCTCAATAATTCATCTATTTTATAGAAACAAAAACAGTCATTCTTTTTTTTTTTAAAGAAAATAGGACAAGAAAGGACAAGACCAAGAACAAGAATATTGTCTAAATAATGTGGTGTGGTGCAAATACTTTTGTTTTGCTTCAGCAATCACTCTAATGTGCTGATTCGGTGCTTAAGAAACATTTCTTATTATCAGTGTTGAATACAGTTGTGCTGCTTAATATTTTTGTGGAAACCAAATGTTTTTTTTTCTGGATTCTTTGATGAATAGAAATGTCAAAAGAACAGCAACATTATAAATGTCTTTACTGTCACTTTTGATACATTTAATGCATACTTGCTGAATACATTTCTTTAAAAAAATCTTACTGACCCTAAACATTTAAATGGTAGCGTATATAATAATATGGTATCTGAATGTGTACAAATTACAAGTGTATACATTATAAACTTTCTGTGATCATTAAAAAATTGGCCATTGAACTAATATTGACTAATAACCTGAACGTGGTCATCTAATCTTAGTAACAAATAAAGTGTGACTTATTTTTAATGAATGACTGTTTTCATTAAATAATTTTTTTCTTTTTTTTCCCCCCTAAATCATATTTTTAACCCTATAAAATGAAGTGAAAACACAAACCCTCAGACTTTCAAGCACAAATGGCATCATTTTCTGAGAACGACCCTCTTACTGCCTTCTGAAAAAGAGTTTTCTGTCAGTGAGGTTGAACACCGTCAGTCATTGTCTCTCGTTCAGGAGGCAGCTGTGGCTGGTGTGAGGTGTGCTGGGGCAGATGCTGTTAGCAGGTGCACAGGTGACATGGTGCTTAGCGGATGTGCAGTAGTGAGCGTATGCCAGGCACAAGTCAAGCTACAGCCGTTAAAAATGATACAAAGCAAGAGAGCTGCAAAACCAGTAAAGAGCAGAGCAGGTCAAGCTAGACTGTTGCATAACTCACCAACTAGACTAAGTTGATAAACAAGGCAATGATATAAACCAGAAGTTACCGAACAAACAAGGCCTGCCACATTAGCCCTAAACACGCTAACAGAATAAACTAGCTTGATAAATATCAGCTATCAGGATAGCAAACACAAGACAAATGGTGACAAAACTAGCTGCCATGCAGACTCGTAGTAGCTGCTGCTACTACAGACACAAGCTATGACAACTAAAAGCTTCCTGTACAACACGCTAATCAGAACAGCCTGTTATAAATGGCTTGGACCAAGCTCAACCCGTAAAGCAGAAGACAACATCTGGGTTCCTTCTAGAAAGGCTATTGATCCCTGTTGAAAAAACAGCATTTGCTGGTTAGGTATGTTTTGAAACGTGGCTGCTGATTTGAGCTGGTTCTTAGCTGGTCATGTGCTGATCCTAAGCAACTAGTTCCTGCTCAGGATCAGCTTAGGACCAGCACATGACCAGCTAAGGACCATCTTAAACCAGCTCAAACCAGCAGCCATGCTTCAAAACATACCTAAGCATATGCTGTATTTAAGGACCAGCTTAAACCAGCACATGACCAGCTTAAACCAGCTCATGACCAGCTAAGGACCAGCTTAAACCAGCAGCCATGCTTCAAATCATACCTAACCAGCAAACAGAGATGCAAAGAAAGGTGAGAACATTGCGCGGATCGGGGGCATGCTCCACACAGAATTTATTTTAAAGATATTTGCTCATTTGTAGTTACTTTAAGGTCATTTTAAATATTTGTATTACATTATATGTCCAAAACAATAAAAAGAAAAAAAATTAACATCCTGTTGCAACATTTGACAAAAATCAAGATTGAATATATTTGGTCAAAATCCCATGTTATAAAAGATGAAGTGCTAAGCAGTGCTATGTCTATTTAAGACAATATTGGCTGATTAGACGGCAATGCTGACCTAAAATGCAAAATTTTTTGCCCTCTCTCTTCACCATTCCCACATCTCAGACCCTAATACATAAAACAGACAATTTTTGAGTACTATACAAACTGAATTAAAAAAGTTATGAAGAAAAAAAATTAGATGACTAACTTTTTAAGACTAGTCTAAACAGTTTATGCAATTGACCAACAACCCTCACTTGATTCCTGCACACAAAAAGAGATCCATCATATCGACAACAAACATTTCGTCCATGTTTCAAGGGAACGTGGACATTGTGCTCGTTGTGGCTAGTTAAGACATACAAAGATTTTCATGGACGTGATAGCTGTAATTGCTTCTAGCTTTATCTGGATAGGACAATATATTACGCAAATTGTCACACTGAACTGATGAAATAATGGTTTCATGAACAATTTACACAGAAATTCTTTCCACTCATATGTTATGTTCCGTTGTCTGTTTATCAGTACACTGCAATTCTCTGTCACAGTTCAAGGAAACATGATCATTTATCAGAGAGCAGGTCAGAGCCATTAACAGGATGGAATGGAGCCATTAACAGGATGGAATGGAGCCCTAGAAATGGATGATGAAGCCTAAAGCCATGATGATAACATCTTAATACAACGCCATGATGCAGCTCTAGTAGGGTTATATGAAGAAAGTGCCTTTAAATGCTGTTCTATGATCAGTTTTCCCAACATCTATTGACCAGAGAAGGTCCAGAAGTTTCTTGAAGCTGATAAACAAGGCAGAAATGTCTCCAAAACGTTTTCAAGGACGTGACTGATCAGAGAGCAGTGTGAGGCAATCTCCGCTGCTTCAACCAATCAGATTAGGGGTGGCTAATGAACAAAATCAGTCAAGTAATAACATGTATTTTACCAGAATTTGTTTTCAAGGAACCCTGTGTGTACAGGTTTATTGTCAGAAAAACTCATTGAAACTAACCGGACAGGTTTTCCAGACTGGGATTCAGATTCTAAATTAAACAGGAAATTCGGTGGAAATCCCCATTAGTAGTACACTTCACTGAGACTGAGAATCAGCTTTACAGGGAATCTTTCACCGGATAAGAACAAGTAGAAATTGCCTTAAATGCAAAACAGCTCAATTGGCGCTAATACCGCAAAGTATTATTCTATGTAGGAAATATGGGGAAAGACCGAAACTGTCAGACAATGTTTGTCAAGGTCACATTATTATAATATATTTAAAATAAATAATAACCCGGACAACAACAGTATGATAAATTGTTCTTATTGACCACCAATAGCAGTAAATAATGTTTTTAGTTTAGGACTGCACATAATAGACTAGTAAAGCAAAACCTGTACAAACAGTGGCCCTTGAGAAACAGATCTAGTTCATTTGGCATAAAAAAAAAAAATGAAATATTCACCTCAGGGACTCCCATTTTCCTGCAGGCGTCCAAAAAGTTTTCAACATTTCTGCGACATTTAGCCATGCTAAGCTTGGGCTGAAGGTGTAACGTATCCATATACAGATGTCAAAAAAGAGATAAAGAGAGAGAGAGAAAAAAACAGGTTAACAAACTTCAGGCTAACAAACACATGCACTATCATTCAAAGGTTTTTTTTTTTAAGGAAATTAATTTTTTTTTTTTATTCATCAAGGACGCATTAAACTGATCAAAAGTTTTTTGCCATTACATGAATAAAATACAACTGAAGGGGCTCATGAACTGAGAAACCAAAATGATCTTTTCACATATCGTTTGATTGATATGTACTGAGTATTTATGTATTTTTAACCCAAATGGCAGCATCAATCTGTGAAGGACATAGACTGTCAAACACACAACTGTTAGCCAATCATAGCAGTGGGCCACGCCTCGCCACGCCTATTCAAACATAGCATTCTGATGAGGGGGGTCAAAAACAGGACAGAAAATAGCCTATTACTTCTAAATGATGTTTTTTGATGTAAAAATCTTGATAACATTATAAGTGGACCTCAGAGAACAGTACAAAATAAAAAATAGAGGCAGTCAATGACCCCTTTAAAACATGTTCAAATAGAAAAGTTTTTAAAAATGATACAATTTACAATTATTTTAAATAATAGTATTTCACAATATAAAGGCCCGTTCACACCAAGGACGATAACTATAAAGATAAAGATATAGTTCTAAAAATCGTTCTCAATATTAAAGAATAGCAGAGTCCACACCTACTATAACGATAAAGACAAAGAGAAACGATATCGTTGGAATCACTTTCAAAACGATTTTTCTCCAGCTGATGAACGATAAAAAAATTGACAGCCAATCAGAATCCATCCTGCTGTAACGAGCTCGAGAATTTAAAGCGGCAGACGTGCGTGCGCTTAGAATAAACAGACGATATTGTTCGCTGGTGTGGACGCTAATATAGTTATCTTTATAGTTATCATTCTTGGTGTGAACGGGGCTTTGACTGTTAAAGCCTTGGTAAGTACAAACACTTAAAAAATATATTTAGAAATATAACTGAACTCTGTAGTTTATAGTGTTTGTGTAAATGTGTGGATAATTCAGAGATGACTCACCACTGCAGGGGATGGTACATGGATACTGGCCACTGAACGCGGCCGAATGTGATTGACTAGGTGACAAAGCACGACCCCATCCATGAGAGAAGAGCCCAGATCTTCAGGAAGAACTACTTTCAGTCTGCTCTCAATACTCTGGAAAAATCAACATGATTGGGATATAAGTAAAACATTTTCATACAAATATTTTAGTCAAAAAAGAGAAAAAAAGTAGCTAAAATATTTTGGATATTTGTGCCACCCGTAAAACATTTGACAAAAAATATCCAAAACCCCTTTTCACTTTGAACAGTATATCTATTGCTTTACAAATCTCTTCTTTTGATTTTTTTTGTTTGAAAAGTGTTATACAGTTAATTTACATACTTGGCTTCTGTGTGAGTATGTTTGCATACCTCTCGTAGTTGCTCTATGAGCTCCAGCTCCTCTCTGAGCTGCTCCATCTTTCTCCTCATGGTGAACTGAGGATCCACTGATTCCAGAGTCTTGTAAGTCCTGAAAAACACTGTCACACAACTGAAGCGTCACCAGTCTGCACAGAGCACATTATATCTCCTGTCTTACTCTCACATGCATAAAGACTCACTCTCATTTAATCACTTTCTTTTAACGTCACATCCATCATGATATCCCAAAACTCTAAACTTTAGGTTAGTGTCAATTTTGATATGAAGAGGATTACACAGTAATCAAATGTTATTACTGTTGCCATTGTTACTTTTAAATGACAAGCTGCCTTTATTGTCTATTTACATCACAATGAATATCCTGAATTCTTAAGGGAATGAGATGCTGTCCTTATGTGACAGCTGATAGTCTTTATTATATGATATTTCTCCACAAGGGGGAGTTCTAGACATGAGAGAAAGAGGGAGATTGAGAAAGACAAGAACACAATGCTTCATTCCACACATCTGAGTGTTTCTGTAGTTGCATAACCTCTCATCCTGAGAAGAAATGAAAGAAAGAGGACAGTATGTGGGGAACATTAAAAGTAAGTTATTCCAGAACATTCCTCCCTCTTTTTGCTGTCTCACAGTTAAAAGCCCTGGAGCAGTGTTTCTGTGCTTGGACACTGATGTAAAACAGCAAGCACACGTTAGACATCTCTGAGCAGCATTAGAAAAAAATGAGTGTGTGGGTGTACAAATTTGTACCCAAAAGTGAGGTAAATCTGTGAGGTAAATGTAAAAATAGTATAAAATCAAAGTCATTTTCTCCCCACAATTGTATAAATGAAGAAAGTTAGGGTTAGAATATATTATTTATACCTATCAGTATATAAAAACAATAGATGTCTAAATAGCTGCCTTTCATAGCTTAGATAGTTAAATGTGTGTGTGTGTTTGCATCATGGTAAAAAACAGTCTCTTGAAAAGTCACCTCTCATGCTTCTGGGGCAAATCTGTGTTTTAGGGTACATTTAATTAAAAGTATGTAACATTTATGTTCCCATACCTTCTCCTTTTTCTGCCAGCCTAGCATAGCAACACTGGCTCAACCAATGGTGTGAGTTTGGGGGCGAGGCTATCTGTTTGTTCACCAATAGCAAACCAGGGTTGTGTTTGGGGAAAGCTGTTTGAAAACAGTCATTTTTTTTAAGCTTGACACAAATTAAACAATTTAGCTTTAAAGCCAAGTGTCTTTCTCTCACATTTTATTTCTGTCTCAACGTCTCTAAACTCTAAGAGCAGCACACATCCTAAACCAACTTTGTATTGGCAAAAATAAGACTCTTTCAAGTGTTTACTGTTACATTGTGTGCAAGAGACAGCAAGTATTCCAGAAATGTATTGACAAAAAGTGCACTTAAAGACAAATGGACAACTCTGACCTCCAACAGGAAGTTACAAATTCTCTAAGTTTTGGAGTAGTATTTCTCTTGTGGACAGAAATAAACCTCTGTAGAATCTGAACACATTGGCATTCATAAAGTGCATGTTTGCCTAATCTGATTATGATTTTATCTACCAATAAGAGTGTAGTAGTAAACATTTCACAGATTTATTTGTTTAGATCCCATAAAAGGCGCCAGATTCCATATGGGTTCAATAAAGTTTTAACATAAAGTTCAATACTACCATTAGTACAGAGCTATTCATTAGTAAACTGTTCTCTCGTTCCATCATTCCCTCTTCCTCTTTCTCTCTCGCAAGACGATGAGTAAGTACAGATGTCTCCTGGCAGTTTTTCATCCTCTGAAAGCATTTCCACTTAAACGGAGGTCTGATTTTCCCTCTGGGGCCATTATCTAATGCTTCAAAATAGCAGCTCTATAAATACACACAGCTCTAATTAAAGCCACTGGGCCACCCCAAATTTCAGCTCAACCACATCCCCTCTCTCACTCCTGTGTTTTAAAAGACTAAGCTAAAGCTATAAGAAACAGTTCACCCAAAGATGCAAATTCTGTCATCCTTTACTCACCCTCATGTTGTTCCAAACCTGTATGACTTTACTTCTTCTGTGGAAAATGACAGATATTTTGAGAAATGTCTCATGCGTTTTTCTGTCCATACAATGGAAGTCAATGGTCATCAAAACTGTTTGTTTATCAACATTATTCAGAAGATCTTCTTTTTGTGCAAGAGAAAGAAATTCATACAGGTTTGGAATGACATGAGGGTGAGTATATGTTGACAAATCTTTCATTTTTCAACTTTCACCGGCTGCTAGTGAACCATACTTATTTCTTAAATCATTTCTTCCACATCTGAACTTTCAAAATTATTCAAATTCTCTCAGCCAAATAGGAAATGTCAGTCAGTAGGCTGAAGTATTCAGCCATCTTTGAAAAACAAGTGTTGTTTTTAAATTTTGATTTTAAAGCATTAAAAGAAGAAAAAAAAGGTGGACAGACTAAATGTCTACATTGCCTAAGGATAATGAGAGTAATGCTTACCCAAGCAAAATCTGCTGCCATCATGCTAGGGTACTGTGGGTGGTTGTCAGAGTGTTGCTATGCAGTAGGGAGCAGTGGTGTATTGTAACAAAGTTATAATACTTCGTTACAGTACTTAAGTATGTTTTGGGAGTATCTGTACTTTACTTGAGTTTTTATATTTCTGCCAACTTTTACTTTTACTCCACTACATCTCCTAATTAAAATGTATACTTTTACTCCGATACATTTCCCCGAAGCATATTCGTTACTTACTACAAAATAGTCAGAAGTCAGAAGAACACAGACTGCAGGAAAGCAGGTTTGACGAATCAGTGGTCTGGCGTTTGCAAGTTAGACTCCTAAAAAACACCTTTGCTCACGTGCAAACCAAACAAGTGCGCGCACAACCGCGGATGGTTCATTTTCCACTCAAGTGTGCGATACACAGCATCGTCTGCGATAATATGGTAAGTGTTGTTGTAATGATGTGCGATCTGACATTTTGAAGTAGGCTATATCACCAAATCGCACAGAGTGCATGCACGTTGATTTATTATCAAAGTCAAAAGTCAAAGTCTGCTTTATTGTCAATTCTGCCACATGTACAGCACATACATACAGAGAATTGAAATTGCGTTAAAAACAAAGATCACAGCACTGTTTTGCATCTCTGAACAATGGACGGTGTTTACTTATTGAATGAATCAGCTTTTTGAACGAATCGGTTGAATAAATGATTCAGTGATTCACTCATTAACACAGTCAAATGCTTTGTTTCTGAATGACTCAATCGTTGGAATGAATCGGTTGAATCTCAATGACTCACTCATTAACGGTCACTTGCTGTCACCTACTGGCGGTTTTAATTACACATTTCGACTATTTTTTTCATGTTTTAAATTATTTCAAATATCAGTATTCAATGTTTTATGTTAAAAACAAAACATTAGGCCTATTTATGCATCTGTAACTGCAGTTTAAATGCATCCATGTCCCCTCTGTGATACATAAACTGTGTAAATACATCTAAATGCCATTTCAGATGCAGATTCCAGAAATGTTTTCTTATGTTGGAATGAAAGACACTAAGTACCGGATGAAGTGCTTCTTATTCTTACCCAAAAATACAAAATGGAAGAAAGAGTTAAAACTGAACACAGTCTTGCTACTCAAGCCGTGTATGAACATTTTTTATATATATTTATTTACTTCTTTTCCATTTTCCATTTACTTGTACTTCTACTTTCAATACGTAAGTACGTTTAAGATTTTAAAAAATTATTTTCGTACTTAAGTACAATAAATATCACATACTTTACTCAAGTAATATTCTAAACGGTGACTTCAACTTCTACCAAAGTAATTTTCTGGTAAGATATCTGTACTTTTACTTGAGTATGGCGTTCAGGTACTTTATACACCACTGGTAGGGAAATACAAAGCAGTTGCGAGTTTTTTTTTTGGATGGTATAAAGCATTGCTATGTGGTAGCTAGGGTATTCTGGGTGGTTGCTTACCGGCCCAAGTCAAAAAAGTCCACACCCAAAAGTCTTTGTTATTCTTGTTCCAGTAGCGTGGAAAATGATTTACATATTTTATATTTAATATTTACAATTAAAGGTTTATTCAAATCTCTATGATAGTGACTCAAAGGCTTAGCAACCACCACTAAAAATATAAAATAATAAAAAATTATATAAGAAGAATAAAAATACCTGAAACAATTTCATCTTGACAAAAAAACACAAAGAGACTAATTGCAATGCATGTGACTGCACAGGACGATACATTGAGCAAACCTACCACTGCTTGGCATGTCTCCTTCAGCTGGGCTAGGGGGCGTGTCTCTATCAGTGGGCGGGGCCTGTGTAAGGGGGAGGGGACAGGGCGGAGTCGAGCATGCCACAGAGGGTGAAGCTAGATGTAGGTATCAACATTAAGCATAGTGCCAGTAGGAGGAGGAGCCAAACAAATAATTTTCATTGGAAAACCACAGGAAACAGGTAGGAGTTTCAGGTATCAGAAAATAGGAAGGTGCCAAGCAACAGCAGTGTGTGTAACAAAAGCAGACAAGCAAGCAGCAGTTCAGGGAAACAGATATATAAAAGGGAAGAGAAGGAAGCAGGAAGATATGCAAAGCAAAATGACACGGAAATACAGCACAACACAAAAGAGAAAATATTAAAAACAAATTCAACGTTAGCAGAATTTCAGTACCCGTTTGTTGGCATGCTGTTAATGCACCTGGAACAAATGACTATTATTTATGTTAACTCTCAGACTCAGGGCATGATATTGCTGGTAATGTTAGACAAAAATAACAGATCACAGATGATGCAAATGCTAGCTTAGATGTTAGAGCGGGAAGCAACAAGAAGCCTCTAGGCAGCTAAACAAACAGCTACATGAATTAAACAGCATCCAGATGAAGCAAGCTGTTTTGTGTGTTTATTTAACTGTATACATTAATAATGAATGGTTTTTGTGAAAATATAAAATCTCTGTGTAAATAAAAAGAAAACACAGGACATATTCAGTTACCATGTGCTTTTTCTAAACCTATCCAGATGCAGTTTAGGCCCTGAAGCCAAGAGAGTAATGTTAAACAGCAATATGAATGTATAAAAAGCCTGACTGTAATATTGTATGGTTTTTATGAGCTTGACATGATAACAGGTGTTGGCCACAGGCAAAAGGATCTTTACACACAAACACCTCCGCCCTCTTACTACTGAAATGTGATGATAATGAGAGAGCCCAAAATGTGCACCATCCTCTAAAGTGCAACGCCACCCATGCCAACCTCACCATCAAAATGCCAACCAGCACATTGGCACCATGTGTTAGTAAAACAACACGGTTCTCACCTGATCTGGGCTTCAGACCAAAGGGAGGGGAGCTCAGTGTGGGGCTGGAAACTGGGTTTTTGTCTTCACTCTGGTACATGACAAACACATTCAGCATAAGTTCACTGAACCATTTTTAAAAAGTAAAATTTCATTGCATAACGTTACAGTGGTGTAAAGCCACAGTAACATTAAACTGTGAGTCAGCAAAAAGATTTACCTTGGTAACTTGGTTCTCACAACAATCACCAGATCCTTCCTGGCCAATCACGTCACCCTAAGAGTGAGAAAAAACAGTTTGTGGGATTCTTGAGATGATGTAAGACGTTAACAGATCAGCTCTTTAGACATAGTCAAACAATGCATCACTGTTCTCTGCTTCCATATGACTCTTTGTCTTTCTTTCTTGAGTCTCTGTTTGTTTGTTTTTCCCCTTTCATTAGATTAGAAAGACAATTACATGATTCTCAATCCCCATGTGAGTACATTAACTTTAAATATATAATTTTTATTCAATCTAAAATGGTGATTTATGAAGTCATGGAGGTTACATCATGGACTGCAATTTTAATAAACAAACACAAATGCATCCAGCACCACACACACTTTTCACAATTCAAACACTGTATACTGAGTGAAAAAAGGCCCAGATGCAATCTACAAACCAGTTGAAAATCTGTGGAATTATGCAGAATGAATTGGTAAAATGCAAAACAGAGTACTCTTTGTGGTAGATGACAGCACAATCAAATTCTAGTGTTATTGCGAACGATTCACCAGTGCACATTATTCCAAATGAATAATATTTTTCCCTTTGTAATCTTTAATCAAAATGTAATAACTTGCTTTTCCCTTAAAACAACGTTAATAGGATCGTTTACATTCTGCCATCATTCATTCACCCTCATGTTATTCCAAACATGTATGACTTGCTTTCTTCTGCAGAACATGAAAAGATATTTTGTAAAATGTTGCTAGCCAAATACATTTCTCAAACGGTTTACTTTTTTATCCCACAGAAGAAAGAAAGCCATGAGGGAATGCTATGAGCGGCGAGAAAATTATATTTTTGGCAAACTCTCTCTTCAACTATAAACTACAATGCTAACCAATAGCCAAAAAAAAAAGATTTTAGCACTTTTTTTTTTTTTAAGCAATCTTCTATCTTACATTCTGGTATGGAAGACCCTCTTTTTATAATTCAGTCACTTCCAAATGAATAAAATCAAGAGAATCAAAAACATTGATTTTAATGAACAAAAATGCAGAGGCCATGTAGAACTTATAAATGGCAGTGGCTCCAATTCTGTGTAAATCGGCGTTGTTTTCTTTGGAGTTCTGCGTACAGATTCCGTGTGGGTCTGCTAGGAATGAGCTGCACGTTTACAATAGCACAACTACAACGAGAATGAGGTCACCACAGCACAAACAAAAAGCACGTATGTGGCAGCTACATCTAAACCATTTGTTTGGGCAATTCGGTACAAAGTGCACTGCATGTGCATACAAATGACAAACACATTTGCGCCAAATGATGAATCATTTCTGAGAGACCAGCTGCATTTTTTATAACAATGTCCCCACCTGACTTGCACACGCTGCCCAAGTGTTCACCAGTCAAACAGGATGCATCTATAGGCTGAATGGCAGGACTAGTTTGTCAGATTACCTGTTGTGCCATGTGCAGGGCATACTGTTGACATGCGAGCTGGGCCTCGAGCCGGGCCCGTTCTAGAATGTACTGTCTCTTCCTCTGGAACTCCCAGCATTCTCCAGGAGCCGCCTTCAATGATAATCACGGCTCTTAAGACCATCAAACTATGACACTAACCACAGCACACATCACGCTGGTAAAAACAGCCCAGGAGTTTAACTGGATGTACTTATAACACACAAGCTACACGGCTAACCAGAACTACTGCACAGCATGGCTAATTACGGTTAATTACAGTTTTAACAACAGTTTTAATAAGAAGAAATATTTTCTTATAATCCAAATAATTACATCACAACACAGCAAAGACATCTACAGTACATACACAAACGACAACACAAAAACTACCACAACAGACCACTGCACAATGAAGGCACAACATACATCACCATTCAAAAGTTTGGGGTCAGTAGGATATTTTTTTAAGAAATTTATACTTTTATTCAGCAGGGATGCATTTAACTGATCAAAAAAGACAGTAAAGACATTTCTAATAAATACATGCTGTTCTTTTGAACTTTCTACTCGTCAAAGAATCCTGAAAAAAATAGATTTTTCATGATTCTTGAATTTTCTTGAATCATGATTTTTACAAAAATATTAAGCAGCACTGATAAAAATAAGAAATATTTTTGAGCACCAAACTAACACAGTGATTTCTGAAGAATCACGTGACACTGAAGACTAAGGTAAAATTTTGTAAAATTAAAATTCTGCTTTGTCATCACAAAAAATAAAATCTATTTTAAAATCTATTAAAATAAAAAGTGATTTTAAATGGTTTCACTGTAATTTTTAACTAAATGCAGCCTTGGTGATTTTTAATGCTTCTTTTAAAAACATTAAAACATCTTATCAACCCCAAACTTTTGTAGATTAAGTACTTCAAACCAAACTGAAGTGCCTTGTAATCAGAGAGGCTACTGTCTTTAATTTTGAGCAGTTGAGGTGAAGGGAATGGATTTTTGCAGCTGCTCTTGAATGAATGAAAAACTAGCACCTTTTGAAATAATAAACATTATGTAAAATATGATGTCACATAACTGACATCACATAAACAGTCTAAAAGGTGTGTGAAAGACAATCCCCCTGGGAAACTGCGAAACTGGTCTACCCTTCAACAATAGCCCACTGATCTCAGAGGAACTCTAGAGAAACACTGCAGTCTACAGCGGCACTATAAAGAGGGAAATGAACAGGATGCTTAGAGGAACCAGTAAGGTCCTCTTGTACATGTGTCTGATGTTAACTTAGACACATGTACCAGCGATTTACCTTAGGTGTCGCCTGACCCTCGTCACTCTCTTGGCCACTGCAGGAAGACAAAAACAAGAATGGGGTGTTGGTGAAAACCGTAACATGTAAAGCAGCATTTGAATGTATTTCTACTACTACTATTTTGTATTTACTGTAAAACATTTAAGCTTTGAAGTTGTAACTTACTTGAGCGACTCATCTACTGTAACCATTTCCACAGGGTAGAGCTTAATACCAGAGACATCAGGTGAGTTCATGTTAACCCTATATGCAAACACAAACAAGTTAAATCAATTTAATTTATAGAGTACTTTTCACAACACACATTGTTTCAAAGCAGCTTTACAGAAAACCATAATGTAATGTATGTTAATATATCTTCATGTCTTATAGTTGCATTTAGTAGATCTGGACAATAATATAGTTTACATTTTGCGATGACACACATCATTAACACTGTTATCCTACCTGTTAGGATCCTGTAGCATCTCCACTGCTTCCTTTAACTGATTGATCATGTTAACCTTTGACCTGTTGGACCCAGTAACATAATATATAAGAATATATAACTTAACTAGTGACCAAATTCAAAGAACGCAAGAATTCAAAGAAGAAAGACAGAAACACAGAGATACACATGATAAATATCTTGATATAAACGTACGTTTGTTCTGAAGTCCAGTTGTTGTCTTCCTCTATCCTGAGGGGCTCATCGAAATCCGCACCTCGACCCTTCAAACACACAAATCAACTTCAGCTGCAAATTCTATCATGTGACAACAGGCTAAAGGCCTAATTGGCTAGAATTTAATGAAACAGATTCACCACCGCCTGTTTGAAAGGGTGACGCACACGCAGATGGGAATACACACACACACACACACACACACACACACACACCGCCTTATACGCACAATGTCCCTCTAGACGTGGATTACTTCACAAGGGAACTGCTAATGCACAAATAAACACTGTCTGCACCAATCCAATGATGCAATGAGATGTTATCAGAAAACCTAACAGTTACTGGAACATAAAGCGCTTTGCCAAGAGAGGCAGATGAAAAATATGACAAGAAAAGAAAGGAATGAAGGGAAATAGGGTAGATAAAGGCAGGAAAGAGAAGAAAAAGATGTTCAAAATACTCCAGCTGGGGCTCAGACTAGGACATTACAACTATAATGGGAAACAGCATTAAATAAAAAGGAAAAACAGTACAAACAAAGTAAACAAACAACAGATCTAACCAGTTTCAAATCAGATATTCCCACAATATTCTGAAAAGAGGGATGATTTCTCATGAATCTTTCAAAGCAAAAAAACAAAACAAAACAAAAAAAAATGTAAAACAAAACCCCTAATGAACATTTCACACGCCTCTTTTCCATTTAGAGCAGTGGTTTTCAATGAGGCCAAAAAAGGACTTAAATTACTTAAAATAAGAATTAAAATAACTAAACAAAAACAACTAAAAACAACTATGCTTTGTCTCCGAAGAACCAGGATTCCTACAGTCTTGGAGAACCTGGATATAAGGTAGCTTAATTTCATGTGACTTCCTGGAAAAGTCAAAATTATTGAAATATTAATAAAACTCCATGGGCATTTTTATACAATTTACAAATACACATTTTTGTAGTTATGCCAAGCTAGAATATTTTATTAGATAGAAATTTTAAGTAAATATATATATATATATATTTAATATTATAAATCCATATCCATTAAGTTACAAACAACTGGAAAAGTCATTTCTGAATATTGTTGTGGACAATGGGGGACCCTGGTGCCAGTACTAGTGCCAATCTGGAACTATTCCACACAATTTAAACAGAAAATGTGGTGTTGACTTGGCCCCAAAAATCTGCTGGTCTTAAACCAGAAACTGCTAACAGCAGAGTTCAGGGCAGGATAATGTGCTCACCAAGTTTAGTTTTAAAAACAACAACAACTTAATCGGGCTTCTGCACAGCACCATTTAACTGGCAAAAGGATAACAGTGTAATGAAAGAGAGAAGAAAGCGAGATTGGAAAATGTGTATGAAACTGATCTAAACTAGCCTGGGTGGAGTAAAACCTCCTGATCCTCACTGTGCTTAAATTCCAGCTTTCAATACAAACACACTTCTGGCAGACCATGAAAAGATCAATCTTGAACATACTCACTTTGATATAGTTGACGAACGGTGAGCTGAGGGTAGAGTCTCGATAGTTTAGATGCTCCTTGAGAGATTCCGATGAACTTCTGTCTCCTACCGGACACACAATCACATACAATTACTAAATTAGTATACTGACTATTCTAAAGAGTTTTTCACTGACACTAAATGTAAATCAAAACTGCTTTCAATTACCTACCTAAAAAAAAAAAAACAATACTGACATTATGCCATAATTGCTGTAGATAAACTTAATTTGAACCCTGGAATATTCCTCTAACTGAAAACAAACAGAAACCTAAAGAAGTGCAATTACTGTAGTGTTCTTCTAGAATTAACTGCACACATGTACACATTCATTCACACATGCAGACCCAGAGTGGACATGTCGAGTAAATCTTATTGAAAGCTTAAAGTCTAAAGGACCCTCCTATCAGCTTAGCAGTCACACACTCTCTAAAGTACAGCACACACACACAGACACACTTTTCCTTTCTTCCTGCAATGTTCTCGGCTTTCATCTCCTCCTCCCTTAATTCTCCTTATGTGCTGACACTGACTTCCCAGCCAGTATCCACACTTCCTGTCCAGGACCTTCCCCTGGGCTTAAGCTGGGTCTCACACACTCTCTATATCGCTCTACTGTTGTGTCAGCCTAGTAAGAGGATGTTTTTCTCTACAGGCTTTTAATATCCTGTCCACACATGTGAGGGCATGTTTGCGCGTGTGAGCAGCACCTGTCAGAGCGCTGATGTGTTCACTGGAGTCGTCTTTGCTCAAGCCCTCCTCCTCTGTGATGTTGGTCATGGGCACATTCAAGCTGAGACTGTCTTCGTCTGATGGCTATAACACAAAAACACACTATCTAAAACACCACCTAGACAAACACTAAAAAATACACTGTTTAAAAATGTAGAGGTTATATAATTAAAGTAATTGTGCTAGAATTGTTATTGTATATTTTTAGAAGGATTCTATATGGAATCAGTTTCAAACAGCATTGATTATACATGTACTAGTCTCAATTAGTATATCTAATTGTATGAAGGAATTATAGTTAAAAGCAGCAAAAACATAAACCAGCTCGTATAATGCCACAATTAGGTAAAAGTTAGCAGAGTATTGAAAAAACTGTGGCGGGAATACTGGCAAAATTCCAAAAAGAAAAGTAAAATATGATGATGAGATCATTGTTTAATACTGTATAAAAATGTGAGTTGCAAGTGTGATTGTTGGATGTTCTGCAAGCATTCTCATCTGTTGTCTTGAGCAATAAAATCTGATTTTGGCATCTGGAACTTCCTGACTTGAGAGATTCTTTATGAAAAAGAGAGAAGACGACATTGTCTCCCAAATATTTCACTGAAAAAATAGCATAGTACACTCTATCACTAATTTCAGCCTTAAAATTATTTTTTAGTCTTAATTTGACATTTATTTTCATATCATGTATCATTTACAGCTTAAAAGTATTGATATGTATTTATATTTGAAATTTATATTGATGCATATTGATATTCTATTATTATTATTCTATTTACTCTGTAAAGCACAGTGAGAAGCAACCTATATTTTATCATTTTTTAAATTATAAAATTAATACAAAAATTGTTTTATCATTATTACTACTATTGCCATCAGCATCATTGAGTCTTAACTAAGCACCTCACAATAAATTTCCAGCGTCAAGTAATTTATCTGTTCACACAGAAATTGAAAATGCTCTACAACACGGTGCAATAACAGCTAATCAGAGCATAGGTTAATGTTTAACATACAGTTATTTTGAGCGGGATTTTGGACCAATGTGAATTCACTATGGGAGGGGCCACCCAGCATAACTCTAACTATACTGTCCCGTCCCAATGTTAGAACAGTGTATTACAACTACAACTGACGTAACTGTAACACTGTATGCTACAGTACATGATAACTGTCAGACACCAGCTATCAGACCTTTGTCCCTAAAGCATATGATCTCAATCCTGCTACAGTTTTATTGCAGCCCAGCCGTAAGCAAACTAACATGTGTTATTATTAATAATCGTATCACTTTAACTGATGAAAACACTATATAGCAGATACATGAAATTAGACATGCAAATATCCAAAGCACATAGATCAGATGGTCAGGCTCTTCTGTTGTACTCAAATCGGCACACACACACACACACACACTGACCTCTGTAGCAGAAAGGCGTTTGTCTCCGTTGTCACTGCCCACCCCAGAGTCACTGTCAAGTTTTTTGTGCTGATCAATGTCCTCAGTGCTAAGACAGAAGGAAGAGAGTGATTAGAAGTTAACAAGGGTCGCATAGGACAGAAAAGAGAGAGAGAAGCAGCCCATGTCTCTCATATGAGAAAGAGAAAGAAATCTTCCAGTCTCTCTCTCTCTCTCTCCCTCAGAAGAGTGACCCCCTGCAGTCTATTAAAAGGATTCTCCTGAGATAAGGATGATAATGACAGGCAACACACATACACACATGACCTGGATTTTTTTGAGATTCCACACTGTAATCTACATTCAGATCTTTTTATACACCCATTTAGAGGTGCACAACTTGGTTTAAAATTACTATATATATCGATTATTTTGACAAATATTCATATTATATAAAGATTTAATATAGCATATGGCTGCTGCTTAAATATCAAGCTTAAAAGAATAAAAGGACATTGGTTTTGACTTTGGATTAAAATCTCTTTTTAGTCCACTTCTTGCTTTGAGGAAAACAGTGCACTTTAACTTTTGAATTTATAATAACTATAAACTATTATATATATATATATATATATACATATACACACACCTTTTTTATTTAAAATCACCATATCACAATTTAATTAATTCAAACACAATTTAATTCAGTCTACTTGATACTACTTTATAATCATGAGGACTGACCTCCCATTCGTGGGTCGTGTCAAGCTGAGGCGGTCTGTGACAGGAAGGTACAGGGCATCGCCCATCTTGTCACTACGACATGCCTCCATGGCGAGGTATTTAAATATATGAATCTTGCCCTTCATGCATATCTGAAAGCAGCAAAAATAATGTCAGAAGCAGTTGTGAGAGAACTGAAGAATACATTGTGTATGTGTGTGTGTGTGTTACCTGTGCAGGAGGACTCTGAAGTGGATTGTTCTCCAGCTGTAGTGATTGGAGCTGGGTCATTTTTCGATAACAGACAGGAATAGTAGAAACCTTATTACAGGAGAAATCAAACTTGACCAGGGGTAAATCTGCCAAATCTAAAACACACATACAGAGAATTATTAAGCATTAGAGAATTAAGTGAATACATTTCACAACAAGGGGGCAGAGAGGGCTGCCAAAATATAAAACAACAACAACAGGGAAACAGTAAATCATGCACACAACAGCTCTTGAAAAGCAAAGAGGAGACATTCAGCATTTGGAAGGTCAATACTAAAATATTTACATCAGTCTTAAATCAAGAAAAAAACATATCAGCTACCTAAAAATAGATTTCTTATTTCAAAAAGGGTGCTTGTTGGATTTCGACAGTCATTTATAAATGTTATTTACTGGTCCTGGTAACTAAAAGACAGCAATGAATCAAAGTTAAAAATCTAAATTATCAGCAGATCTCTCAGGCAATCTATATGAATGCTTCAGCTCCATGAGGTCATTTTGGCACAGTGTGCTTGGAGAGACCATTACAAATCCTATTTTTCTTAACCTGCATAACCAGCATTAACCAGCATAATTTAGCTGAATAATTAGTTGAGCTGCAAAATCTCAGCTACAGACTTTTTTTTGCCAAGGTAAGCTGTTGATATAACTCCAGTTACATGTTTCAGACAATGCTTGGCTCACAAAATCATTTTAGCATTAAGAACACTAAACGTTTTCTCACTGTTATTTAAAGGAACACACCCACACTTTATGTTCTTGGCAGTTTGCTTTTACTCAGAACAACTTACCAGAGTGTTGTGTTAATGTTCGTTTATAAGTTTATATAAGTACAACATGAGGCTGAGGGTTTTATTTGGCTTTGTTACAATATGTAGTGGATGTTGTTCCAAAATTATTGCTCACTGAATGACACGGATGAAGGAAAGATGTAATGGACAGACTGAGCAATAGAGTTCAATACTACTTATAGCAAAAGGATTAGATAGTTTAAACAAAAAAAATGTCATCAATTACTCAACCTCATGTCATTCCAAACATGTACAATTCTTTTCATCTTCCAAACACAAATGAAGATATTTTTATTGAAACATGAGGTTTATTTGTCTCCACTAAAACTATCATGCATTAAAAAGTACAACGGTAAAATGTATCCATATGAAGTGACATCATTGTTTCTTGTAGAAGTTCCTGACAGAAGCGTTTTGAAGATGAATGAAAATCTTATGGGTTTAAAATGACTTGAGGGAGAGTAAATGATGACAGACTTTTAATTTTGGGTGAACTATCCTTACTTTAATTCATGACGCAGAGAAGGCCTGAATAAGGAGGTTGGTGGAGCAGAGGTCAAACAAGGGCTAGATTTCCTGTAGCTGTGGAGCTATCGGAGGAAGTTTTTATTGGTAATGTGATGAGTAGTTATCGAGGTGAACTTGTCAGAGAAATCATTTCAGCAGAGATAAGAAGGGTGTAGCGGTGTGTGAGGGATACAAACACACACACACACACACACTGATTGCAGACTCACCCTCTGGAAGGACACAGAGAAGGTTTCGGTGCACGTTGAGTTCCCTCAGAGCTTTGAGTTGGCCAGTGTGGCGTGGAAGAGCTGTGATTTCATTACAGCTTACATCCTGATGGGAAAAAGATAGAGGAGTTTAGAGTTACATGTTTACCTTCTTCTCAAACACAAGCTTCTGCACAAACCTTTCATTACACTCACTCGAACTAAGTGCTTGTTGTACTATATTATATGACACCCCACATGGCTGTGTATGTTCTCATTTATAGTTACAAAAAGGAGCAGGAGAAAAAAGACAGGGAGAAGAACTACCAGAGAAAAACTGGAAAGAGAGAAAAGCAGTACATTCAATAGAAGCAGATATGAGTCAAGTCGAGAAAGGGTGAGTCAACATGGTAATATATTCATAAAACACAGAGCAAGTATCACAAACATCTCATTCATATGCAGACATCAGAGGTACAGCACACATGCTCACACTTACCAGCTCCATGAGATTGGTGAGCTGGCCAATGCTTTCTGGAAGTGCGTTGAGTTTGTTATTGCTGGCGTTGAGCACTCGCAGAGGAAGACCACACACACACGCTGGCAGCACTGACAGCTGGTTCCGGCTACAGCACCGCAACGTTTAAACAAAACATGTTACAGCATCGTTCTTAATGGTACTCCTCAAGCAAAAGCATGTATCTAGAAAACTTCATTCTGATTGGTCAATCACAGCATTTATTAGAAAAATAGAGACATCAATTCAAAGAATTTAGTTAAACGAGTTGGTGAACATTATACTGTACATACAGATAACTTATCAATAATGATATCATTAATTATCATATGAAATGATATATGGTATCTGATAAGATATCAATACCGACAAATTTGATTTATTTGTAAAAATCTGGAAGCCTGTATTACATACATTACTTAGTCATATTTTTGTAGTTTTTCGTTTTATTTAGTCTCTTCTTCCTTTCTTTCTTTTATGATGATTACCTTTATAAGGGCATTTCTTACATTATTTTGTTTCTATTTGATTTCTGTACTTTTAAATTCAATGTGCTGTTGTTTCTTTTTGTTTGGGTGTTGAAGTTTATACCTTATCTAAATAATTACAATTTCCAAATTATTGTTATATTATTATAATATGTAACAGTAAAATATAAGCATATAAACAGAGTATACACATATATATTCTCCCCCAAAATGTATATAAAATTAATCAAATTAAATCATTACACAACAGTTCAATTGTGGCACTGAAAACTGATAAAGGACTGATATTCAAAGATAAATAATAAATAATCTGTTTTCCTTGGTCATGTGTGTGCCTTAGCCTTCCTGTAACACTTCATCATTTCTGTCTATATGACATTAAACAGGAAAAAGACTGACTTCAGGGAGTTGTTCATGAGTTCATGAGAAGTAATAGTTAGACAAACTTTGCCTGTTATGACTACAGGATGACAGACAAATATACAATTGTTCAACTGTCTATGTGTGCTGAACTAGAGGAAAAACATATAAATCTGTGTGCAAGTCAGTCTCTTTTTGCTTTCTTTTGGCAATTTCATATTCTAATGATCTCTTTCATCTATTTTTCATGATCTCACTTGGTATTTCTGCTTGATTTTCCATCTCCAGTTTATGTTCACTCTTCTCAACCGTTATGAGCTTAGTGCTTCATTAACTTCTTACAAAACAAATTCCATCGCTAATTAACTCAGTGTGAATATCAGGCCTTCTGCAGGAGACATTTGGCTTGAGAGAGAAAACCCAAACAGAGGGAGAGTCTGTGTGTGTGTGTGTGTGTGTGTGTGTGGATGCATTTACATTTAACAGAAGCAGTAAGGACAACCAGAGGGGGAAAAAAAACATGTTTATTTAGTTCACTTTAATTTTGTATGTTATATGTTGTGCACTTTGATTTTCCTTTTAGACTGTATATGCATCTAAAAGCTAATTATGTAACAATACCATTCAGTTATAATTACCATAAATATTAAAACACACATCTTTAGAAGCAACCTAAAGACCACATTATCGGGTCTGGTGAACCCTAGTCCTTTGAGATTGACTAATCAACTCATTCAAACCACCCACTAACTAGTTGATTTAGTCTCTAGTCTCTTTCACACAGTCTCATTCAAAACATATGCAAATAAAATATTTTAATAACACATTAGGTTAGGTCTGCTGATGCACAAACATGCAATCCTATATGTTGTTTGGAAAATAATACTAGCATAATAATTCCAGTACCGTTCAAAAGTTTAGGGACAGTAAACTTTTTTAAATGTTTCTGAAAGTATCTCATGCTCATCAAAGCTGCATTTATTTGATTAAAAATACAATAAAACCAGTAATATTCTGAATATTATTACACTTTAAAATAACTGTTTCCTATTTGAATATTTTTAAAAATATAATTATTCCTGTGATGGCAAAGCATCATTTTCAGCAGCCATTACTCCAGTCTTCAAAGTCACATGATCCTTCGAAAATCATTCTAATATGCTGACTTGCTGCTCAAGAAACATTTCTTATTATCAATGTTTAAAACAGCTGTGCTGCTTGATATTTTACAGGATTATTTGATGAATAGACTGGTCAAGAGAATGGCATTTATTTGGAATACATATCTTTTGTAGGATTATACATAGGGATGGGTATCGTTAAGGTTTTAACGGTATTACTACTCTTACCGATACTGCTTATCGATTCGGTACTTTAACGGTATTCTTATCGGTACTTTTTGTTTTATATATATATATTGACAATATGACAAATTAAGAGCTGAATTAACATTGCTTTATATTCTGAAATGTTAAATAAATATTTAATACTGTGTTTAAGTAAATACTCTCCAAGCCGGCCATTTTGGCATATTTTTGTGTGTATTTGATCGTTTGGACACTTGGACCGAAGCTTAAAGTGTAATTTTTTGTCCGTTTTGGAGCGCGCCATGCGCACACATTTCAGCCCGGGGAACAGCGTCTCTTGTGCGGATTGTGCTTTCAACGTTTTATTATCAAACATGTCCCGCAATTTAGCAACAGTAAAGACGGCATCTTACAACAATCACCGATTGAGCTGATTCTGACGTTAAGTTTGGGTTTTAGGGAGGAACGAATGCGCACCACTGTGAAGGGAAAGAAGTTGCGCGATACGAAACGCAGCTAGTTTTTAATAGCTTTACCTCATGTCTTCTTTTGTATAATCCTTAGAAGCCAAAATCGAAATAAAAAAATAAAATTAGCTTAATAAAACCGCCACAGGCCTAAAGTGTAAGCAGATGTTTGAATGTTTAGTTCTCTCTTCTACCATAATTAAACAGGGCTTTCATGTTGCGCGTGCTGAAGCTCCACCGCGTGGGCGCGATCTCGCTTCTGAATTGCGAATAGCAAAAATGCATCATAGACAAATGTTTGAAAAACAGCTGGCAACTCTGGTGAGATAGAATTTGCAAGATAATGTATATAGCAATAATAAATGTATGTGTGTTTTATTAATTTCTCCAGTACCGATAGCAGAACCGTTAACGTCAGAGCTTATCGATACTCCGGTCTTTCATAATTTAGCCCCGGGACCGATTAAATACCGGGTTTCGGTACCCATCCCTAATTATACATGTAATGTATCACTTTTTATTATTTTAATGCATCTTTATTAATATCTTAAAAACATTGACTACATTTTGTAACTGTAGTATAACACATAACTTGCAATATATATTCCTATTGTCTATCCTGTTTTCAAATACAGTATGTGAAACAATACACTATATGCACTAATTAATTGCATTTCAAACAGTAATATGTGAAATTCTTGACACAACCTATATGTTTAATAAATTTTAATCATGACAACTCTCGGAAGATTTTAGCATGGTGAAGGATATGACAATATTAATTTATTTGGTCTTGGCGGAATAGATCTGCTACGCTGCTGCTGCTGCTGAATTGCTGCTGCTGTTGGTTATTGCTGTAGTTGTAGATTATTGCTGCTGCTGCAAGCAAGTACAGGAACTTGCTACTGCCAATGCATACGGCGATACGATGCCGTGAGTATTTAAGACATGCTGCTGCTGCACAAATAGCATATAAAATAACCCGTAGCAGATCTATACAGGTGAAGCTGGGGAAGGTGGAGGGTTTCAGAGAAACTCTGAAAGTGCGCTGCAGGAATCTCTAGTGAATGCTAGCCAGCCATTTAAATGCAAGGCAGTAAGCTCATTGGCTGCATATGCAGCATGAACCAATCAGCTTGTGCCAAGTCATTTAACTCTCTGAATATCATCAGTTACGTTAGCAACCATCAGCCTGCGCCATCTAGAGTTTCATGACTAAACTATATATTTATTTTATTTTCATTTATGTTTGATGCTTAATTGAGTAAGTGGTGTTTTATTTTTCACCTTGGGAATAATTATGGTTATTCGGCATTTTTTATCCAATTTATGAAAAATGTCTTCATTTTTGTCAGTATACTAAAATATTGAGTCTTTAGGGAGACATTTCAGAGGTTTAATCACAGTTCATTTATCAAATTGGAAACAGAGGGCCAGATTTATCATACTGCATTGTAGCACACAGTGTGATCTGGTTGTAAACTGTATAATATGGCAAATGTAAAGCATCACTTGGGTAATACATACAGAAAATTGACAGTATACATACTGCTCACTGCAGAAATATTAGTAGTATGCTAGTAGTAGAATGCTATTCTAAGCATACTAACACATTCTGACGGTTTCCCACAGTATTATGTTAATGCATTATGAGCCTAGAGACACGACACAATGTAATTCATCTCTCTGTGAATGTGTGTGCATGTGTTAGTGCGATGCTCACCTGATGTTTAAGCAGGTCAGGGACTGAAGGCTGATGATGGTATCAGGAATGCTTTTGATGCAGTTGTGATAAAGGTTCAGCGTTTCCAGAGAGACCAGATGACACACCTCTGACGGGATGTCAATCAAGCGATTCTTCGACAGATCTGAGAGAGAAAGAGTTCTGTTAAAGCTAATGCTTTAATAAAATTGGTTAGAGCATTTATTACACAACTAGCATGACTGTACATTACACTCAATGCTACATTTGTTGTTGTAGTACCCTAACTAAACACAAGGAGGTGCTTTCACAACTACAGATATCAATGAAGCGAACATTAGCAAAAAATATCTGTGTGTGTGAAGGAGGGGATCCCAAGGTTAAGCTCCCTTCCTGCACACACAAACACCTCATTTCAAAAGCCATAATTGGTTGTGCCTGAGCGCAGTTAGCATTTCATGTGCCTAAAGGTGATGACATTTAACAAATGTGTGTGAGGGTTTTACCACCAGACCGTTTCATCAAAGTGATCGGTGTTTTGCTGATGTTTCAGGCCATGTTTTTATATCAAATTCATGGTAATATTAATGAAACAGTTTACTTTATTGTGAGAGTATGTGACTAAACTTACTATTATCTCCCTGTATACATTATGTATGATACAAGTTACAAATGACAACTGTACCACTGACCTATACCACCTTGTCACTATGCATTAGTGTTTCCATGGAAACCATGCACACAGCCCTATGAGAGACTGCATGAGTGCTGATAGCACAAGACAGTCCAAAAGACACACACATAGTAGTTTTCATGCATTAAACAAGCCTGTCAAGAATGAGGCACCCATAATACACTACAGTATACATAGTCAAACCACACCCAATTTCCTGAGACAGGACCTAGATAAATAGTCCTACAAAATATTAACCCTAATAAGCAGTTCAAAGGTTCAAAAAACATGATACACAAACCATAACTCACTAAGTAAAAGTAAAAACTGGAGATGTTCTAAATTTCATCCATACCAGGGATGCACTGATGACGAAATTCTGTGGATAGTGATAAGCTGAAAATTATTATTGCACAAAATTATGTTATGTTACAATATTATCCCTTGTAAAAAGAAGAGCACTTTAGCATACTTTTAAACATAACATAATTTTATGTTTAAAGTGTACCACCAAATGTACTGACAAACATTTATGGTAAACTACAATAAAAATCATGTATTTAAATATACATTGTAATTTACATATATTACATATAATACATTTATAATATAAAATATAATCTAAATGTAATATCAACATACTCCAAGTACAGAAAATAAGTTAACTTATTTAAAGCACAACAAAAAAATATTAAACCATTGATTTAAAATGTACTTTAGAGTCCCCCTGTAGTCAACAATTTTATCCTTTAAAACTCATCTTTGATCATCAAAATGACATTTAAATGTTTTTTCTTGTGAAAATAATTTGCTCATGCCTTAAAGGGGTCATATGATGCTTTTTTAAAAATCATTATTTTGTGTATTTGGTGTAACAGAATATGTTGACAGACTGCCATTGGGAAACTACAGTTTTAAGGAGAAAATACTCAGCAATGGTGTTGATAAATAAATTGGCACATGGTTTGTCTAAAAGCATATTAAAAACACCACATAGGCAAATAAACAACATAAAAAACTTGATTTTCACCACTGGGGGACTTTAAAATAAAATTTGAAAAATTAAATATTGCATTATTATAATGTGCACTTTCATAAACTGTACTTAAGTGTTAAAAACCAGTCATAAAAGTGTACTCTCTTCAAGTACACTTAAATAGCCTTTTATTTAATTAATATTCTGTTTTTTTAGCTTTTACTTTTAAGATAGCACGCTTCTTTTCACAAGGCCTAACTAGTCTACACAACAAAAAAAGTGTATTTCTAACATTATACTGTAAAGCAGGAAAGATGAATAAATATTTATTTTTGATACAATATCTCTAATATCCAATGAAAAAAATGCTGATGTCGATTAATGTGACACAGTCACAGTCACAGATATATAATGTATGTCTAATCTATACCCTAAAATAGGGAAATGTAGAGTAGATTGTGAATTTCCTTACGCCAGGACATGTGTGGATACTGACAAATCACAAAGGTCAAAAAATATTTGGCCAACCAAACATGGCCAAAGTGGTACCAATTTCATTTCAAGTGCTGAAAACAGAAAAAGCTCTTCACCTCAAAACCAGAGTGAACATGGCAGATAACCTAGATGTATCTTCAGTGTGTGAACAGCTCACATGATGGAGGCAACCATTATGGGCAAAGGATAACCACCAGTGCTTAATATTAAACAGAGCATAAGTTTACTATAAGGAAAATATGCTTGGACAACTTATTAAGCTATGTGTGAGCCATCACGAAGCCCCGTTGGCTCACCCCAGTCTCAGCTTTATGGGGAAAGATCACAACACAGAGGGATGAATAATCATTTAATGACTCTAGGTCTGTAGGTCAAATCTACAGCTTGTGCAGATAAGCCTATAAGACCAACAAAACAACAAAATGAGGTTTGTACTGTAAAAGCTCTACTGAACAACATTATATTAAACACATATACTGCAGGCAAGAGTGTCCAAGCGATATGGACAGTCAGGTACAGCCAAGAAAGAGAGAGACTGCAGATAAAACAGACCTGGAAACACAAGAAAACATGCCCGCATGATGTGCTGCAGGAGTACAACAGAGTAGAACAAAAGTCAGAACCTATTCACAGATGTCTGATGATCTTAGTCATACAGACGTCACTCTAACTGTCTCTCGTCTGCGATCTGTGTCTGTCTGAACGGTCTCTCCGTCTTGCTGAGCTGCAACAGCGGTCTGTGTTGAGGCAGTTTGTTCTGTTCAGAGCACACAATGGGCATCGAGATGGCACAGATGGCATGGATTATCAGACTAACCCCCTGACGAAAAGCACACACACAGTCCTATGAAAACACCCCTTTCTGTAAGTGTGTGTGTGTGTGTACATACTGGAGGTTTAAAGATAAAATGTTAGTAGACACACATGAGATAGAGAACAGGAGGGAAGGATAGAAGAGAATGAGGCTGAATGTGAGCTCTGTCAACACACGGGCTGTCAAGGGATGTGATGTAAGAGGATTCTGGGAAATGTAGGTCTGTAATGAACTATGATAACCAATAAGTGTTAGTATAGGATTTATTTAAAATATAAACTCAACCTTTCAAGGTTCAACAAAAAGGATCGTCCAGTTAAAATGTGTAATTATGTCAAAAATCGTTGTTGTGAATTGTGCTGATTTAAACACATGACCAAAGCAAAGTCTATTATATCTATTAGCCTGATTTTACATTACTGATTTTGTTAATAATTTTCAACCTGATTATAACTGATACACTCAAGACTATCACGACTTACACAACCTTATCTACGTTAGCTATAAATTTCAATATATACATTTCAACATTATATATATATATATATAGGGTTGCAAGAAATTTACCACAAAAATATAGCGACAATGTTTCAGGTAATGCAGGATGTCATACTGGTGGGTGTATGTTTTACAACTTTTATAGTCATGTCTCATTAATGATATAATGCTAATTTACAAATCTACTTTACCAAAATCACTAAAAGAATGCAATTGCTTTGGATAAAAGCGTCTGCTAAATGCATAAATTATTATTATAATCAGGTCTTAGGTGCATCTACCAATCAAGGAAACGTGAAGATTAACCCAGTAACTTTGTTTTGGTAAGCTTTTTTCTGCAAGCGTCTATGAAAACGAGCGCGTCAGATTTCGCTCCCTTGGTGACGTGGCAAAGGGATGTCATTATAATATTACCGCCCCTTAATCTGTAAGTTTCCACCCACGGCGCTGTCATTTGATTTCGCAAGCGACAACGGTGTACCAGCTCTAATGCCATGGCGAAAGTTTGAGCAAAACATGCTAACTGTTCTGTCTTTGGCTGCACAGACAAGCACAGAACACTATTTACAGTCCCAGCCTCAGAGGAGACAAGACAGCAGTGGATTTATTGATTTATTTAATATATATTGCTGCTGCCACACAGATCATGCGATTTATTTCCCAGCTGTTTACCTTCACAGACATAACCGATTGTTTTTGTAACTCGTGTGTTTTTAACGTAAACTTGTGTGTGAATGAGAACTTAGTTTAGTACTCGCATGCTGTGACAGCCGCTTTCTGTCCGTGTGCTTCGAATGCGTGCACTCAGAAAACCGTATATCAGAAGTTTAAACTCATATGGTTTAAAACGCATGATTTCAGCGCGATTAACATGATAATCAGAACCAAAACAGATGTTTTTAGCAGGTCTGAGCTGTAATGGCACAGCTCTATTCTGGAAAATGGGGCGGGGAGCAGCAGCTATTTGCATTTAAAGAGACAGGCCAGAAAAACAGTGTTTCTGCTTCCACTCAAAATAGGCATTTTCAAAATGATATAATAAATTATCTGTGGAGTATTTTGAGCTGAAACTTCACAGACACATTCTGGGGACACCAGAGACTTATATTACATATTGTAAAAAGGGGCATAATATGTCTCCTTTAAGTAACAGAAAATGCAACACAAAACACCCTTTTTTACTATAGAAAACCATTTTTCACCATATACTGTATGGTAATTTAAGGTTAACAAATTACCAGATTTTCACTAACATTTTTTACAGTATTTTTCTGTAAAAATTACAACTTTTTTACAATGATATACATACATACATATTTATAGTTGCATTCTACACTACAGAATTCTGCAATGGATAAGATTTTAAACTAGTAGATATACTGCAATATAGGCATAAAAAACAAAGCAAATTCAACATCCCCAAATGACAGCAGAATCTGAGAAGCAGACACAGACAAACTTCTGACTGGGTGAGTGAAGTTTTCATTAAGCTAATTACACCTCACAGTCCTTTCTTTGAGCTCTAATTGCTCATTCTTTCACTCAAACACTCTTGTCCTGTCTGCATAGAAACACAGTCTGTCATTATGTTGCTCTGGGTGTGGCCTCATCCTGCGGCTTACAGCTGGAATAATCAGCTGAGCGTGTGTGTGTGTGTGCATTTATTTATAGTATATAATCAAACAGATGGTTCCGACTTAGATTTATACC